ACAGGCTTTCTTTAGAGAAAATGTATTCTAGTTTAGGAATGCGAAGGCTTTATATTTCTACAGACATTTCGCATCCGACTGTATTTGTATTGGGAAAGCTGATGAAAAAGATATTGTCATCTTACAGGTGGTTTGTGTCTGAGACACCTCATTTTTATGAGCTACAAAGAGCCGTTTTAACCAGTAATCGATAGTCTTATCATATTTACAAGGAAACATCCACAATCAAACGCAGTTAAACCGGTCCGATAGTCTGTAACAATGCAACAGTTATTTCAGCCGTAAACTCATCCAGTTCCCAATGAGTTAAAAAATTGATAGTACCACTCAAATTCTGTCTGCTCCCCTGCGTTTCAAATCCAACACTGACTTCTTCAGGGTGAAATTCCTCCAAATAAAACATTGACACCATAAGCTACAACAACGAAGTATGTAAGAGCCTCCAGACTCCTTTTTTTCCCCAGTCCGTTCCAAGATGGAGATGTTTTTCTTATTCGCCTTTGAAGGGCTACAGGGTAAGAATTGAGCTGGTTACGACCCAAGTTGACTTGAATTCTTTCATAATATTCTGTGAAGCGTTTCATTGATAGCCTGAACTTTCAAGTTTTGGGGTAAGAATATAATTCCTACGCTGTGAGTTCGTATTGGCCCAGTTTTTCCTTTCTTCAAAAAAAAAAAGCGAGTGGCTTTGCAACGTAATTACAGCCTTGTTTTGCCGTAAAGAGTTAATTATAGCAGTAACTTTTTCCACTACCAAATGCTTTTACATTCATGAAGAAAACCCTGTGCTTTTTTAATCGAACACGACAGCAATTTACGCAAGTTTGGACTGAAAGGAGTGCAACAAAACTAGCCACGGATCTCTTGCTTAAGGTCTCTCAGAAAGAGAAAAACCTTGGGGAAGAGGCCAGAAAAGCCATCGTCGAAGCACTGGGACTCAGTTGACAACATCATACTCAGTCAGTCGCTGTATAAACATATTTAATCAGGGTTGGCTCCTGCAGCACAGAGGAGCATGCAGTCGAGGGTCGCGTTATCTGTGAATCTAAGTTTTGTGACTCGTTCAGAGCATTTGGTATCGTCTCTACATCCTCGTTGGTGAGTTTTCTTCTTGTAGTCGACGGTGACAGTATTTCTATTGTGCTCTCTGCGTTCTGAGTCTCTTGCATTGTGTTGACCTGTTTTGTGCCGCACGAAAGACAAAACGACAGATATCTGATGTATTCTCTGCGAAACCGTTCAGTCAACAGTCCATAAACAATCGGATTCACACAAGCGTGAAGGCAGTCGAGAATAGTTGCAAATTTGCAAATGATGTCTATCGTGGCCAGGTCTTCTTCATCTCCAAATTCCCACAGCAGATAACCAATTTGACCCGGCAGTAAACAGACGGTGAACAGAATCACGATCAATGCCAGTGTTTTGACAACTTGTATGTTCTCCTTCTTTCTCCTCTGAACCCGCTTGCTCTTAACAGAGGAAAGGGAGCTTTGCGGAGCAGCTGAGCGCCACAAGTAGATACCGATTTTAAGGTAAGCTGCCGCGATTATCTGAAGCGGGATAACGAACTGAAGAATGAAAAGAGCCAATGTGTAGGCTTTACGATGATTCAGTGTCGGCCATTTCTCGTCACATTTCCCGTTTGTCGACTTTGTCACAATGGACAGCGGTAGCACAATAATGAATGTAAACAGCCAGACAGCAGCGATCCACAGGTAACCAGTTCGCTTCTTCATTTTGGGTTTGTGCGGATTTGTAATCACCTTACAGCGATGGATTGCCATGGAAGAGATGGTGAAGATGCTTAGAAAATAAAAGATTGTCAACAAAGGCTGAACAAGTCGACAGTAATACACAGTTTTGTAGATGCTGTTGATATACTCCTCGTAAATGAGGACTGGCATGTAAAAGAAGATAAACGACAAGTCAGCCATGCCAAGGTTCAAAATAAACAGATCATAGATGGACCTTTTGCTCTTCTTGCCAGAAATGACAGCGATCACCAAACTATTACCGACTAAGCCAGTTATAATGATGGCGATATAGAAACCCAAGGTAACGTTTTGTTCGGTAGAGTTCGTCATGGCTTCTGTGTTGTTCGACATTCCTGCAGCGCACGGTAATTTTCCCCCGTTGCTTGCAAGCCGATATGTTTCTTCGTGGGTGTCCACCGTAGCTTATTTTCACTCTTGGTGACCGCGCCCACGTAAGACTGATTTTAATCTCAAGACACAAAATGATTATCTGCAATTAGTAAGAAAGAACTCAATGCGTTGATAGATCGCAGGTTTGGTAATTATCAAATATTTCATGATTGTAGTAATGTGTCTCTATGAGGATGTTATCCTCTACCAAGCTGAAGACCTTCTAATAGAAGGATAATAGCTCCTTGAGCGACAAAGTGACTATTGAAATAATTTAGCTGAGTGGTGCGAAATGTCTTTATGCATAAATTTTGGTTAATATTTGCGTAACCACTAATGTTTAAATTTGCGTTCACTTGTACGTCATTTTTGAGTAAATTAATTTTGAGTTTCTAAGAAAAGCCACCTATGCGATGCTGAATATTTTTCAAATGCTGCTTATAGTTGAATTGATCAGGTAATGAACGCACGAGCCAATAATTGCTTAATATCGAAAGAAATTATTTTAGTTTTTAACTCGGGATAGAAAATTTGATACCAACAAATACGCCGAGCGACTTTTGTGCCTTTCATATTCGCTCTGAGCGTGATAGAGGGAGGGAAGAATGAAACTCACCTGAATTTTTTACATTGCTGTTCTTAGAATGTCAGTTCTCGCGGCCGTTTTCTTCCGTCAATCAACGCGTAGGATTCTGTAATAACTAAGTTTATTCTTCACAATTCCTTCCTGTGGTAGCTGTTAATGAATGAAAAAAAAAAAAAAGAAAAAGACCTCAGTTTTCAGATTAACGGGTCCTTTCAGCCAAATCACAGAGGCAGCTTTCTTCCTGCAAGTTACAAATCTAAGTGCAATGTGTCTTCNGCCATGCCAAGGTTCAAAATAAACAGATCATAGATGGACCTTTTGCTCTTCTTGCCAGAAATGACAGCGATCACCAAACTATTACCGACTAAGCCAGTTATAATGATGGCGATATAGAAACCCAAGGTAACGTTTTGTTCGGTAGAGTTCGTCATGGCTTCCGTGTTGTTCGACATTCCTGCAGCGCACTGTAATTTTCCCCCGTTGCATCCAAGCCGATGTGTTTCTTTGTGGGTTTCCACCGTAGCTTATTTTCACTTTTGGTGACCGCACCTGCGTAAGACTGATTTTAATCTCAAGAGACAAAATGACTATCTACAATTAGTAAGGAAGAACTCAATGCGTTGATAGATCGCAGGTTTGGTAATTATCAAATATTTCATGATTGTAGTAATGTGTCTCTATGAGGATGTTATCCTCTACCAAGCTGAAGACCTTCTAATAGAAGGATAATAGCTCCTTGAGCGACAAAGTGACTATTGAAATAATTTAGCTGAGTGGTGCGAAATGTCTTTATGCATAAATTTTGGTTAATATTTGCGTAACCACTAATGTTTAAATTTGCGTTCACTTGTACGTCATTTTTGAGTAAATTAATTTTGAGTTTCTAAGAAAAGCCACCTATGCGATGCTGAATATTTTTCAAATGCTGCTTATAGTTGAATTGATCAGGTAATGAACGCACGAGCCAATAATTGCTTAATATCGAAAGAAATTATTTTAGTTTTTAACTCGGGATAGAAAATTTGATACCAACAAATACGCCGAGCGACTTTTGTGCCTTTCATTTTCGCTCTGAGCGTGATAGAGGGAGGGAAGAATGAAACTCACCTGAATTTTTTACATTGCTGTTCTTAGAATGTCAGTTCTCGCGGCCGTTTTCTTCCGTCAATCAACGCGTAGGATTCTGTAATAACTAAGTTTATTCTTCACAATTCCTTCCTGTGGTAGCTGTTAATGAATGAAAAAAAAAAAAAAGAAAAAGACCTCAGTTTTCAGATTAACGGGTCCTTTCAGCCAAATCACAGAGGCAGCTTTCTTCCTGCAAGTTACAAATCTAAGTGCAATGTATATACATTAACACGAGGCTAGTTGCAGTATGTTAAACATGAAAAGAGAAAAAAGAAGTAAGCGCGTTCATTCTTTCGAAAAATTTAAGATTACCTTGGAAATCGGAACCCGCTGTTTTACAATTAAGCGGAAAAAAGTATCGGTCTCATAAAATTTCAGTGTTTTCCTTCAAGATCCTACTTAAGGGCTGTGTCGGCCGATGTTCAAAACTCCTTATCGTGGGATTTTCCTACGGGTGTGATGCTACTTAAAACGTTTCATGTGGGTTATTGGTTTACAGAGGGTAATGAATCTACGTAATTGTTTATAGAAACCGATGCATGTTGCACAAAATTTGCATTTGAATCGTAAGGGCATTTTGTTTTTGTTCCATGACAACTGTTTCCAACTGAAAGGAAACCTTTAATTATTCTTCAATACTGATTCGTGAAGATTACTCCCCAAAAGACTTGCCAATTTAGAACTAGAAAGGCGCTTTAGAATACTGCCACTGATGCCAGTGGTATCACTTTTATTATTTACGCCGGAGGATACCTTTCGAGCATAAAGTGAAATAATTGGAAAGCTGAAAAGTCACTCTGAAGAATTGTTATACGCAACTCATTGAATATCATATATTGCTAATCTAACGGGCTATTATTTCTCATAGATTGCAAACGTTATTTAGTTTAACTCGCTTCTCGAGGCGGGAAAACTCTTCATCCTTAAGTTTTGATGTTAGAGAACCAGCCTGAATTAACGATAAAATTGCCCGTTTTAGTTTCATATAAACGACAAGCAGTAGGTATTAAAAGATTTTTTGTCGTTTTCTTTATGTAATGATTTAATGTAAAACTGTAACTAATGATTGATTATAACGGATATGAGTGACATTTTTATAAATCGTGTTTTAGCAAAGCTTTTAAATTAAAACACCGTTGATGAGATTTTTTGATGAATTTAATTTTTGAAACCTAGTATGGATTGGCGCTCGAAAGATCAACATAAAGTAAATTGTATCGAGTGGTTTCGGCAATTTGAAGGTGTTTCATTGTGTGCACAATAAGACAGAGATTGGCGCGGGAAACCTCAGAATTATTCATATCAAGAGTTCCAACTTTAAACATAGCAAGCACTCATTTTCCCACCAACAGATTTTTAATTTACATGTCAAAGTCTGTGTTTGGAATACACGGCACCCAATCAGTATTATAGAAACTTACTCTCGCGGTTTTAGCTCTCGATCCGAAGAGTGTCGCAGTTATGTTGTATTTCAAGCCTCCCCAGAATCGTTAATTTAAATTTCTCTCACTTATGCGTAACTTTTTGATCAGCTTTTTTTTGGTTAATTGATTTGGCGACGAGGTTTTTGTTTCAACATCGGCACCTGTATTGTTTATCTAAGATCTTGAAAGTAATAAAGCAAAGATCATTGTATTTGTTAAAGCGGTATCCGGATAATAATTTCACCCGAGGTACAAAGTACAGGAATAAACTTCAGTGCCTGTGGTAAAATTTGACGGCAACCGATTATGGTGAAACCGATGTTCTAGATGAGAAACGAGAAAAAAAAAGAAAATATGTTGTATGGCTCGAAAAAGATCTTTGCGTTCGAAGATCATGTCATTAACCTTACAGTCAGAAATACTATNAAATTAAGGATTAATATCACTTATGTTTTCAGAAGTTGCTGAAATTTCCCTCGTCGCTTCGCGACTCGGGCAATTTCAGCAACTTCTGAAAACACAAGTGATATCAATCCTTAATTTTACTCGGCCCCATGCGATTACCTATACAAATACTATAACCTTCCTCAGCAATAAAATGGCTACGAAAGCAAATGTGTGCTTTAAAAAGAGCCGCAGAAACCGCGGCTCTTTTGAAAGTACTCATTTGCTTTCGTAGCCATTTTATTGGTGAAGAAGGTTATAGTATTTTAACCGAAACGTCGTCACACAAAGTTTTTTTAGTCAGTGACAACAAAAAAAAATTCTATTTAACCTTACAGTCAGTTTTTTTTTATTTTGTTTTTTAAAAAAAAAATTAATTGTTGAAAAAACTCGAGTTTTTTTTTGAAATATTTACAAAAAAAAATATATCCAAAGTTTCACATACATGACCCGGTTTATGATCTTCTTAATTTTAAATTTCAGTTAAAATTTTAGGAATTTTTTTTAAACAAACCAATCAAAAAAAAAGTAGATCAAGCTCGTGGTGTAGCTTTTTTTTGGCCTCTCCCTTAAAAAAAAACTGTGGAACATTATGGTTTTTTTTTTTTTTCAGGACCACAGAAAAAAAAAAAGAAAATGGAGATGTCGTTTGATGTTTTTTTCAAAGCGACTAATAAAAAAAAAATTAATGCATTGTTAAGATTTAATTTTTTTTAAGGACAGCAATAAAAAAAAATACGTATCCCAGTTTGCATTCAATTTTTTTCAGCCACTAAACCAAAAAAAAACCTCCTTCCAGGCTTTCTTTGTTTTTTTTTTGGATGAGTTGGCAAAAAAAAAGACTAGCCTTCCACACCGCTTTGTTTTTTTTGAATCCCCAAAAAAAAAAAAATCTCACCCATGCTCCATGGTGTATTTTTTTTCTCTGTGAACCGAAAAAAAAATAATAATCTCGCTTACGGCTCAAACTCGTACCACAGGTTAATTGGATCGAAGAGGCACACACGACGGTGCCAAGCTTTTTTTAGAAACTTAAATTAAAAAAAAACTCCTTCCTGGGTGCACTGTTTTTTTTTTTGTGTACTCAACCAAAAAAAAAAGTGCACTTAATCATATAAGCACGTTTTTTTAATCATATAAGCAAAAAAAAAACTGGCAATCKTATAAACACGTGCTTTTTTTCATWTAAGCACGTAAAAAAAAACATATGAGCGCCTTCTTCTCGAGTTTTTTTGCTTGACCAATAAAAAAAAAAATATTAGGAGCCTTAACCCTCATATTTTTTTATATCTGGAAGAAAAAAAAAAATATCTTTGTTTTTTAATACTTTTTTTTTTTTCACATCGTGCAAAAAAAAAAAGTGTGCGAGAGAAAACTGTATAACATGCGCTGTGCTATTTTCACCCTTTCTTTTCAGGATGTCTATCTGCCTAATTTTTTTTATTGTTGTTGGTGAAAAAAAAAACTACTTCCCCGGCCTTTCAACCTTTTTTTTTCAATTGTTAGGAAAAAAAAACTACATACAACTTCCGAAATGCTTTTTTTTAAAAATTAAAACTAAAAAAAAAAAATATCAACACATGGTGATCGATTTTTTTATTCAAAAGTTTCAAAAAAAAATTTTTCATTTTCTATTAAATTAATTTTTTTCTGGTGAAACCTTAAAAAAAAATGTCAATGTTAGCCTCACACGTGTTTTTTTCGTGTGCCGGTAGAAAAAAAAAAGAAATTGAGAAACTAAAAAGAATTTTTTTATGTACAAATTTCAAAAAAAAATTCTTTAGACAAAATGTTATCTGTTTTTTTAGTAATAAAGAAAAAAAAAAAACTATTAAGTAATGGATGGGCTCCTTTTTTTTCCAGGAAGAATCAAAAAAAAAATCTAGGAAACTTTTTTGGCATTTTTTTTTTCATACGTCATAAAAAAAAAAAAAGAAAGAGGTAAAGAAAAATAATTTTTTTTTACAATTTTTTTAAAAAAAAATTTCATGAATGTAACACCATGCATTTTTTTTTTCACCATTAAAAAAAAAAAAATCGACTTTGAGAAAATACGTAGTTTTTTTGGAATTAAGGAGAAAAAAAAAAGCGTGACTAGATTTGTCGCTTGATTTTTTTCGTTTATTAATTCAAAAAAAAATTTAAGAAGTCATTGCGAATAACTTTTTTTCATAGACATTTGCAAAAAAAAAACTGCCAACTACTGCCATTTTTGTTTTTTTTGGAGTTCGAGAAAAAAAAAAAGTTTTAAGGGACAGGGTAATTAATTTTTTTCGACCCACCTAGGAAAAAAAAAGTAAAGGTGTGTAACTGYACCATTTTTTTTCACTTATTATGATAAAAAAAAAATGCTCAATTTGCTTACGGGTAGTTTTTTTTATGCAACGAGCGAAAAAAAAAACCAAATTATCGATCTCGAAATCTTTTTTTCTTTGATCAACATAAAAAAAAATCCAGATTGAACAAACCACTTTGTTTTTTTGACACCATTATTCAAAAAAAAAATTTCATAAGCTACTGAAACTCTTTTTTTTAGCGCGTAAAATGAAAAAAAAAGCTAGCTTTGTATATACTTCCGCTTTTTTTATTATATTAATATAAAAAAAAACTCTTTATAAAGATTGAGCGTATTTTTTTTTCTGGGACCCGAAAAAAAAAAAAGTCTAACTATTTTTCTTGAAATTTTTTTTCAGATTTACTTTTAAAAAAAAAGAAAGCTCATCTTTGAAGTCCGTTTGAGTAGTCGTAGTATGGTTTGATTTCTTTCACCCACCACTGACCAGACAATTTTTTTACAAAAGACTTCAAAAAAAAAATGAAGTTTCATAGATTGAACTGATTTTTTTTATAAGCGAGTTCAAAAAAAAAAAAAGAAAGGCTTTCCTCGATCCTTTTTTTCACTCAATTCCATAAAAAAAAACACTTAAACTGTGCACAACTTCTTTTTTTTTCGATTAGCTGAAAAAAAAAAAGATCAGCAGTTATTGTATCTTGCTTTTTTTAACACTTCTTGAAAAAAAAAAAACTGCTTGTTTTGTGTAAATATTTTTTTTTGGTTGTTACCTCAAAAAAAAAATTTCAATCAGCTTTGGTTGTAAGTTTTTTTACATGACATGTCGAAAAAAAAAAGTTTTATTTTCTCGGTGGCCGGTTTTTTTATTGACTTTCGGTAAAAAAAAAGAGTTTATGCAACATTAGTGTGGTTTTTTTAATACAACAATTAAAAAAAAAAGCCAA